CAGCCAAAAAGAAATCTGAAGTAGATACAAACTTTGAGCAGCACACCACCTGACTCACATTCCTTGCACCCTGCATCTACACTTGCATGCCCCCTTGTATGTACTGACCACTATAGAAGCTCAGGGCAAAAAAGCTGGCCTCAAGAGCATCCAAGGATGGGGGCCTTCAGACCACTTTCTTTGACTCTAATGCGATCTGTTTAGAAATCAGTGATGAAGACATTAAAGAGGAAACCCAATATGTTTGAAAATACTTTTCTAAAAGGTCTAAGTACTTCATGGGTCAATGAGGAAATCATGGTAGAAATCAGAAAATAAACAGAACTAAAGGAAGACAAAAATGCAATTTATCAACACCTGTGGAATGCCGCTAAAATGGTATTAAAAGGAAATTTATATACTTAGAAAAGAAGACACGCCGAGGAGTTCTGAGTTAAGCAGTTAAGAAGTTATACCAAAAATAACATCAGAATAAGCCTGAAGGAAGTAGAGGGAAAGAAAGATATGAGCAGAAATTAATGAAAAACATACAAAGATGAACAGAGCAAACAACAATTACTCGATAAATCTTAATAAGAAAGAGGAGTACGAATATATCAGAGTTTAGATAGATAATTAAGCATTATGAACAATTGTTTTGCCAGTAAATTTGAACGTTTAGATGAAACGGGTGAATTCTTAGTAAAATATGAATTAGCAGGAAGCTGAGGAAGAAGTAGGCAATCTCATTTACCCCTCAAAGAAGATAGATTAATAGCTTCAAATCTCCCGACAAAGAAAACACAAGGCCCACTCAGTTTTTTAGGTGAGTTTTACCAAAGTTCCAAGCAAAGAGATTATTCTAATTGTATGAGAATTGAGTAGAAAAAAAGAGAGACAGTTTTCTAACTCTGGTGTGAAAAGGCACAGCAGTAAAATTTTAGAGAACAGCATAGCAGCATATGTCCATGACCTTAACAAACAGGAAGGGTTTCTTACACAAGACACAAAATACTCTCCGTTATAATGGAGAAAGTCACTGGAAGTTCACCGACACAAACATGGAGAATTTAGATCGGCGCTATCACTTCAGAAAATATGTTGACATTACCTCACAAATTTTAACGTGTGTGTGTGCGTGTATTCTTTGAACCTGAGATTTCACTCTTATGCATATACACTTAAAAGACCTGAGTGCATCCAGGGACCCCTGGGTGGCTCAGTCAGTTAAGTGTCAACTTTGGCTCAGGTCATGATCTCGCAGTTTGTGAGGTCAAGTTCCACGTCAGGCTCTGTGCTGACAGCTCAGAGCCTGCAGCCTGCTTTGGATTCTATGTCTCCCTCTCTCTCTGCCCCTCCCCTGCTCATGGGCTGTCTCTCTCTCTCAAAAATAAAAAAATAAAACATTTGAAAAAATAGATAAATATATATTTAAAAAATTATGTTTCAAGATTCATCCATTATGGGGGTGGCTGGCTGGCTCAGTCGGTAGAGCATGCAACTCTTGATCTCAGGGTTGTGAGTTCAAGCTCCATGTTGGGCATGGAGCCTCCTTAAGAAAAAAAAAGATCTGGGGCGCCTGGGTGGCTCAGTCCGTTGAGCGTCCAACGTCAGCTCAGGTCATAAACTCACGGTTTGTGAGTTCAAGCCCCGCGTCAGGCTCTGTGCTGACAGCTAGCTCAGAGCCTGGAGCCTGCTTTGGATTCTGTGTCTCCCTCCCTCTCTGCCCCTACTCTGGTCGCACTCTCTCTCTCAAAAAAAAAAAAAAAAAAAAAAGGACCTGAGTGCATCAGACACATGTGTAGAAACACCATTCAAATCACTAAAACTAGAAACAACACAGATGGGCAGTTTGCTGTGGAATATTCCACAACAGTGAAAAGGAACACACCACTGCCCCCTGCACCCACACAGAAGAGCCTCAGAAGCACACTGTGGACAAGGGCCAATCCCAGAAGACTTTGTGTGGGATGATTCCATTTACATAAAACTAGAAAATAGGCAAAACTAAAAAGACATGCAAATGCATGCACGTCATGTTTTGTTGATTCTAAAATATACTTTTTCACTTTTAATCTCTCTAAAACAATGAGGGTGCCTAGGAGCACCTGGTGGGCTCAGTCTGTTAAGCATCGACTCTTGATTTCGGCTCAGGTCATGGTTCCTGGCTTTGAGCCCTGTGCTGACAGCACAGAGCCCGCTTGGGATTATCTCTCTCTCAAAATAAATAAACATTTTTTAAAAAATGAGGATGCATCTTATAATCAGGGGTGACTTGCAATTACTTGCAATTATGAACCTTTTCTTTCTCAGACATGAAATCGTGCTTCACTTCACGACTCTGAGGGGCTTAGGTTCAATGAAATATGACAGGGAGTCAAACAATAAAGAAAAGCAGCTGAATGGCAAACATAAAATAGGGGAAGGTGGGGGCTAGGGAACGGACTGGACACCCAGAATTCCAAAGTACTGGCCAAATGCTATTCTTCACCTAGATAGTGAGTATATTGGTATCTGTTTTATTATTCTTCTTTAAATACTTTCAACTCCCACCACCAGAAAGAAAGAAAGAAAGAAAGAAAGAAAGAAAGAAAGAAAGAAAGAAAGAAAGAAAGAAAGAAAGAAAGAAAAAGGTGTGAAGAGACAGGGAAGGGAGGCCAGTACACGTTAGCTCAGGAGGCTGGGCAGTGAGCAGAGGCTAAGTGGGGAGTGGCGGGGTAAGAGGAAGTAGAGGGTGATGCCGATAGTAAGTGGAAAGCTGTCCCCAAGAAGGCACGTTGGCGTCGCTCTGCCGCGCTTGGAGAAATCCAGAGATACTTCCTCTACTTAGCAAGAGGGACGAAGGAAAAGATGGGTTTGTGGAATTCGTGGTGAGATGCACACAAACAGTCCTGTGCCCCGGAGGGGACATGAGAGGAAAAAGTCTTTTGGAGAAAAAAAATTTGCCCAGAATAACATCAGACTTATCAGTATGTATATATACCAGCATATCAGAATATCAGGATATCAGAATATCAGTAATACCAGACTTCTCAGAGCTAGGCACTCCGGCCCTACAAACAGAACGGATGCACGACTCTCTCGCAGGCTCCCTTTGAAAGCCGAGCCTTCAGCGGAAAGGCTGTGACGCCTGGCCAACACGGCAGGGAAGGTCAATAATTTAGCATCAGCCAAAAGCCACTGCCCCTGGTTCCCATCTCCCAGAAGCCAGATTTAAATTACGGGCTGAGGAGGGTGACACCTACTGGGCTCTGAGGGGCATGTGTGGGAAAGAGGCTCTTCCCATATGCAGTCCTCTACTGCCCTCTGCTGCCCGGTAGAGGAACCCGCAGGAGTCTGCAGATCGCCCTGCTTCCTTCAAAGACTGCAGACAGATAGGGAGAGGCTGGTAGAATCTACTGGAACCAGGCGACTATGTCGGTCCCACTCCTCTCCATGTGCACATTTCCAATCAGTGGTAGGGCCAACTTTCACTTCTCGGCATTGGTACAGCTAGTTTAAAATCTGCTTCAGCCTGGGGCGCCTGGGTGGCTCGGTAGGTTAAGCGTCCAACTTCAGCTCAGGTCATGATCTCACGGTTCATGGGTTCGAGCCTTGGGTTGGGCTCTGTGCTGACAGCTCAGAGGCTGGAGCCTGCTTCAGATTCTCTGTCTCCCTCTCTCTGCCCCTCCCCTCCTCTCTCTCTCAAAAATAAAAATAAACATTAAAGCTTGCTTCAACTGTTTTTCATCATTTAAAAAAAAGTTATTATCTGTCACCTTCTCAAAACTGTTCCCCAAGGCCCGAGAATATGGGAATTCAAACACAAGTTTTGATGACTTAACAGAACATTGGTTTGCTCATAATTTCACAGTGTCAAATGTATAAATTCATCATATGCTTGAAAGGATTTTTTTCTAACAGTTTCAAGCCATGATTTCCTATGTGATACCCAGGGAACCCACCATTTGGTTACAGTATTTTTGCAAAAATATTTCATTTTCCAGTATGACTTTGAAAACCTCAATTGTTCATGCTTTTGGAAATTTCAGTGTTTCATACTTGGGGGAAATGTTCTAGGTAATAAAGGATTCCCTGGAGTTGAAAAGCATAAATAAGTACCCGAAGAAACTGTTGACCTCCCCAGGCATCCTTTGTGCTGCATGGGATGTGTGGCCCGGGGGACCTCAGTGAAATTCAGAACGGTTGGGCTTACTGGCCTTCAATGCCTCAACTCTTGTGTGGGATCCTACGCCCACTTGGTGCACTGGAATGGGCATTTAAAATGCAAGTCATAGGGGCGCCTGGGTGGCTTAGTCGGTTAAGCGTCCGACTTTCGCTTAGGTCATGATCTCGCGGTTCGTGGGTTCGAGCCCCGCGTCGGGTTCTGTGCTGACTGCCAGCTTGGAGCCGGGAGCCTGTTTCAGAGTCTGTGACCCCTCTCTCTCTGACTCTCCCCTGCTCACACTGTCTCTCTCTCTCTCTCTCTCCTAGAAATAAATAAAACATTAAAAAAAATTTTAAATGCAAGTCATAAACAAACCAAATGCAAAACAGATCTCCATACCCCGCTGCTCTGGGAAAGGCCAGCCGGCATGCTTTGATTTTAGAATAGAATACAAATTCCTTAGAATACAAGGCCCATGGATCTGACCTATTCCCGGACCCTCCACGTCTGCACCTGCCCCCCACTTCTCTTCCCCTTCAGCTGCTTGCATTTTCACCTTTCGAGGAACTCATCTATGACTCCATTTCTTTTTTTTTTTTTTTTTAAATGTTTTTTTATTTATTTCCAGGAGAGAGAGAGAGAGAGAGAGACAGCGAGAGCAGGGGAGGGTCAGAGAGAGAGGGAGTCACAGACTGAAACAGGCTCCAGGCTCCGAGCTGGCAGTCAGCACAGAGCCCGACGCGGGGCTCGAACACGAACCGCGAGATCATGACCTAAGCGAAAGTCGGACGCTTAACCGACTAAGCCACCCAGGCGCCCCTCTATGACTCCATTTCAATTTTCTGTTTGTTTCCTTCACGGCACTTGCTACCACTTGTAACGATCATGTTTATTTATCTATTGTGCATTTCCTGTCTTTGATCTCAGATGCCACCCCCCAATGGGTACGCCCTTTGTCCACGCGGCTCTTTGCTGTACTCTCAGCGCCTAATGAGTGCACATTTATCCATGAGTGACCATGTGAAGGAGGTGAACACAGGCAGGTATTGGGAGGAGTGACAGCCAGCCGCTCCATGGAGGTCACTGCGCTGAGTCCATTCCAAGAATATAAGGCACCGGGTGCAAGGAAAGGGGAGTCGCCGGAGCAAGCTGGCAAACAGAGCTGTGCTCTCATCTCTTCCCACACTGGTCATCAAAGCCGCCCTCTTCCCACTTCGAGAACACCGGCGAAGCAGCGAGAACCACAAGCCCCGAGGCGCGGTTCGGGAGAACTGAGGGCAGGAAGGCCAGTGCCCGCGTGCCCGCCCGCCAGAATCAATCACTTAACCAGCGGTGTTGGCGGTGCCGATCCAGGAGGCAAACACCCACCAGCCAGTGACCGACACTTTGTGCTGATCCAGTGCCCTCCACTCGTGAGGGCACCAGCACCGTCCCTCAGGCTCACAGCCCTGCTCTGAGGAAGGTGCATTCACAGTTGCGCGTTGTGGATGCGTGTGAAGAGCCGGCGGTCGGTGGGCTGGAGCACTGCTCCTGGGCGGCAGGCTGATGCCTGGCCTCCGGGGGGTTCTCGTCTCCATCCTCCCCTGCAGACTCAGAGCCTGAGCAAAGGGGAGTACGGCCAGTCCTGTCATCAGCTCGGAATCGATGGCAGCAGGAGGCCTGATGACAGCTGTCCCCAAGAGAGGGAGCTAGCAAGGGCTGCAATGCTTGCCTGGCTCCAGGGAAGGCCGGGTGGACATCTTGGGGAACAGTTGGGTCCATGTCATCTCCTGTGCTGTACGTTGCTTCTCTCCCAGGCAGGATCGTACAAAGAACGAGGTCAAGCCAAGAGAAAGCGTCCAAGAGCCTCCCAGGCGGGGGCAGCCTCAGGGCAGGCACACCTGGGGATTCTTCAGGAAGAGAACCAGTTTCTGGGCCACGGCGTCCAGCTCACCCGAGCCGGCATACTGGAGGAGGTTGCTCTTGCGCACAAAATAGTGCTTCAGAAAGTGCTGGCTCACACACTTGTGCAGCTTCCGTACGAGGCGCAGGAAGGCTTTGCCGAATGCCTGCCAGTCTTTCAAGTGGGGGTATTTCTCACAGGTCCAGAAGAGCACGGTCTGTGGAAGGAAGAGGTGGTGTCAGACATCGGTCCAGGCAATTGGAGGAGAAGGTCTTCAGAAATGGTGCCCAGCTCATGTGGCATCGGCAGGAGGCAGAAGGGGGGCACGCGGGGCAAGCTGGTCCCGCCATGATTTCAGGATTCCCACCCTCAGGTGGGCTTGAGGGTCTCCTGCTGGGTCTCCTGCACCTCTTTGTTCATGGCTTCTCTTGCCACTGGCGTTTCCAGTTACCACCGCTCTCCTTAAATCTGCAATCTCCCCACTCCATGCCTTTGCCTCCTACTTTACAGGGAAAATGGAAGCCTTCCTGGCGGCAAACCAGTCTGCCCACATGGGCATCTTCCTCTCCCTCTCTGCTTTGACCACCCCGCCTGCCCAGGCGAACCCCTAAACAGGGCTTGGGATCTCTCCTTCCAGGGACTGTGACTGGCCTCCCTCTCCCTTGCCCTTACCCTTGCCCTTCCACTGCTGGCTCTTGAAACTGTTCTGAGCTCTCTTGCCCCACCCTTTGCCCCAAGGCCAAGTCTGCCTCCTGACCTCTCACATCTCTGCAAGTTCAGACTTCTCCAAAGAACCATCTCAATCATTTGTCATCATTTCCACTCCTCCAACTGCCATTCAGTCCACTGCAATATGGGCTTTTCCGGCATGGGTCCTCAGGGCCAGTGATCTCCGTGTTGCTAAGTTCAAGTCCGACAGGCCTTGCCCAGCCCTGGCTTTACCTGACCTTCCAGTGGAACAGGGTTCTCTCACCCACACCCTCCCTCTTGAGCCAGTCTTCACTGGGCTTCCAACCTTCTGGGCTCTCTGGGTTTCTCCAGGTGTCATGGCTACTCCTTGGCATGTCATCCCCTTCTCTGCCCCTCCCCCCTACCCCAGGGCTGGAGGTTTGGAGGCGCAGTTTCACACCCTCTTTTTCTCTTGGTCGCCCTTCCTTCCTCCCTCGGCAGCTAGAATCCCCACCAAATGAACAGAGGTCGCTCACAATTTCCTTTCCCAGCCATGGCTTCTCTGGGATCTCCTCACCTGGTATCTCCTGGGAATCTGAAAGTTATCACCATCAACATGTCCCGACTGAACTCATGGCCCCTACCCCCCCAACAAAGCTGGTGTGTTTCCAGAGTGGCTTATCCAGCCAGTCATGCAAGATACGGCCTGGAAGTCATCCCTCCCTGACCACCCTCATCAGGTTCTGCCAGTTCCTCCAAAGCGTTTCTCTCGTCTACCACGTACGCTCATCCAAACGGTCTTCTTCCCCTTCCATCCCACCTGGGCCGCCGCCCTCACTCTTGTCGTCAGTGTGTCCCCATCACGCCGTGGCCAACGTGAGCTTTTTGGGGTATAAGTCTGTTTCTTTGTGTCTGAAATACTTTAGGGGCGCCCACGTGGCTCACTTGGTTAAGCGTCCAACTCTTGATTTGGGCTCAGGTCATGATCTCACTGTCCATGAGTTCGAGCCCCGCATCAGGCTCTGCATGGACAGTGTGAGGCCTGCTTGGGGTTCTCTCTCTCTGCCCCTCCCCTGCCTGCACGCACATGCTCTCGCTCATGCTCTCTCCCTCAAAACAAATAAATAAACAAAGCATAACAAGAAATAAAGTCTTCCCATCGTTGGTTAATGAGAAATCACAACCCTTAACATGGTTCGGTTTATGAGGTTTGCACCCTACCTTCCCTTCCAGCCTCATCTTGCCTTCATCCTACGTTCTCTCCTTCCAGACCCATTGGCCTCGTTTCATGCTCTCTTCTACCACAGGGTGACTTCTTTCATAGCAGACTTCTGCGTGGAGCACACTTCCTTCCCCAGTTTGTCGAGAAACCTCATCCGTCAGATCAAATTTCCCTACGATACCATTAAACATTCTCTTCACCACGTACTTCCCATAAGCACTACGGATCACAAGAGTTGTTTCCGTACTTAATGTGATCCCCTGCTGGATGGTAAACCCCACCCAAGAGGAGAGCGGTACCTATTTTCCTCACAGTTACATCACTAGCACCCAGCAGGGGAGCTGGCCCACTGGAGGCAGTCAATAAGCGTTTATTGACTAAGTGAAATAATCAATGTTAAGGTTTAGATGTTGAGTGTTTTTAAAATATAGCCGTTACCAAGAAAGAAAACAGCACTTTTGGGTTCACAGCAAGACACTGAGTGTGTTTTGATTTTGAGCACATTGTGCAAAGTAAATGAGTTGGAGGTGATATCATGCTAGACAAGATAACCTAGATACTAAACAGTTCGGGGCACCTGGGCGGCTCAGTCGGTTAAGCGTCCAACTTCAGCTCAGGTCATGATCTCATGGTTCATGGGTTTGGGCCCCACGTTGGGTTCTATGCTGACAGCTCAGAGCCTGGAGCCTACTTTGGATTCTGTGTCTCCCCCTCTCTCTGCCCCTCCCCAGCTTGCACTCTTTCTCTCTCTCAAAAATAAACATTAAAAAAAGATAACCTAGATACAAAAAAGTGTTTTAACACCTCTTATAGTTAAGCTTTTCTCTCCCCAAGGAAACCAAAGAAGTTAAGCCTCTTACAATCAACCCCCGTGCCTTCGAGTGGGTTTTAGGAATAAATAAGCCAATGAAGGATAAACTGTTCATATGGAGCTGCTGGGGGGGGGGGGGAGCCACTCTGGGGACGGAGGAGGGAAGAAGCTCATCAGACGGTGTCAGACCGAAGGTGGGGTGACAGTGATGGGTACATCCTTCCCGATGCCGTTTGGCAAGCCAGTCTCTTCTGCCTTCCCCAGGCTGAAGGCTTGGCAAGGATCCCACACACTCAAGCTGTCATCGGGAGGGTGTCTAAAACCATAGTCAGTGTCCAAATGTGAGTGCATCCTGCCCTTGGGCCCAGGTGGGAGACTAGAAGAACAGGCCGACAGTACTGCTTCTGTCCTTCCTGGCCTTCTCAACAAATCCCCCACCCCTTTACCACGTCTGCTCCTGAGCCTGCACGGTTCTGCGCCTTGTACAGGAGTTTGGGAGAACTGAAACAGAGCACCTTTTAAGGGGTTGCCCTAAAATCCTCTAGTGATTGAGAAACCACTGGAACAAAAGTAAATTCTTGCATGTAATGCAGTTTTGACAGCAGTCAAGGGCTGGGAGCCCTGTGGTGGCCCTATTCCATCTTGTCTAAAATATTCATGTCACTTAATGTGTTTCCATCCGTCTTAATTGTGAGGCAATGAACTCAGTGGTCAAGACTATGAGCTTCAACAGGAGATAGAAAGGCCTTTGGGTCTCGGCTCTTTTTCTTGTTAGCGTGGCCTGTAGAAAGGCCAGCAGGAAAGAAGCTAAATCGGAAGAACCAACTAGATGACCTTTAGGAAGCACGTGTCCTCAATCCAGGAGAACAGGCGGGGGTTTTTAGGGGGATGTGCTTGGGGTTGAGAATGTGGAGGCTCCAGAGAGAGGGCACATAAGATATTAACAGATTCTAGGGCAGGCCAAGGAGGACAGGTTATTAAGGAAGATAAGAAAGCAGAGCCAAGACTACTGACTTCATCGGGGGAAAAGTTGAATATGATGTGAAAGCATTCATTCATTTGCCCAACGAGTATTTATTGAGCAACTACTAGATACACCGCATTGGGAGAGATCCTAAGGGTTCATTAGTAGTTGCTGTTAAATAGCTTGCATTGGAGCTGGATGGGGAATACAGGGTCAGAAGATGGGGGTCCACTGAACGAAAGGGGGGCACAGCAGGAGGGCGCAAGGAAGACACCACACAGACAGGGGACCTGCACTTACCGTGTCGAAGGGCTCACGGGGAGAAGGGACAAATGCTAGCTAGGCTCGGGCTGTGGGGTCTCAGAGTCCGCCTCGTCCCAACCCCAGGGGCCATACAGCGTGTTCACGAACGTCTCATGCACTGTGTGGTTGCAAATTTGCAAAAGAGGAGCTCAGAGTGTGAAAGCCGCCTCCTCAGGGGGGACCCCCGATCTCTCAGCCCAGGTCAGGTTCTGCGGCTCTGCGCCCTCATGGAAGGAGGCTCGCGTCCTCCCTGGCGCTCTCCGTGCTGTGTGAGGCCACACGCGCCTGGGGGACCCTCTGACCAACGCCAAACCCCGACCTCCAACGCGAGAAGGGGCCACTTCCGTGTTTCCTCATCCCATGCCTCCAGGTGCAGCGCGCACGGCAGGTGCGGGCAGGTGTGGCCCACAGCAACCTCAGTCAACATCTGCGAGCGAGCGAGCAAGCGAGCGAGGAGCCGCAGTCGCGAGCGCCTCGTGTGGGGACTGGGGGCGGCGGGTGCCTCGGAGTCGGGGAAACCCCTGCCGCGTGCTTCCGACCCAGCGGTTCAGGGCTGTGGCCAGGTTCACGCGGCGACCTCGCCACATATGCCCCTCCCACCCCCCACCCCCGCGGCGGGCATCGCCAGTGGCCACACCTCGTTAGCTGGGAGGACTGAGCGAGTCCTCACGCCCGGGGAAGCCGTGAGCCCCGCTGGGGTTCGAGCTATTTGCAAGCCTTCGTCGGGCGGGAGGTTTCTGAGAGGCGGAGGCTGGGAGCACCCATGCCGAAGACCAGCGAGGTTTCTGGCCAGCGTTGGTTTGGGGGGTGAGATTAGCAGAGGGGAGAGGTGGGGGGAGACGCAAAGCCGGGAAGGACAAACAGCAAGGAAAGAGGGCCAGCGGGGGAGAGGCGCAGGGGGCGGGAGGGGCTGCGTCGGCTCACGTGCGTACATCCGGGGTTTACACGTCGCCGTCGCGAGCAGCCCCTGCTCCGAGATTCCTCGCACGCGCGCGCACCTGTCGTGAGCGGCTCCGCGCAGGCGCCGCAGCGCGCGCTCACCTGCAGGTGGTGGGACGTGAGGACAGGCCTCTTTCCCGGACACCAGACGTCCTCCTTCATCTGCCTCAGGGCCCGGAGGCACTTCCTGCGGCAGCCGCCGTCTTCATCCAGCTGGGCCAGCAGCACCTGCTCGGCCTGCAGGAAGCTCTGCTGCCAGTGGTAACGTGAAGACGCCAACAGGGCAAACCCGAACGACTGCGGAGAGGAGACCGTGAGCAGCAGCAGGAGCCGGGGCCTGGCGGCGGAAGGCCCCCTCGGCTCTGGGGGCCGGGCCGGCCAGGAGGCAGGCCGCGTCTCCCAGGCGGGGACGCCAGAGGCCGGGGCAAGCCCCCTTCCTGAGCGCAGTGCCCTGGTGACGCCCGTACCCGCTTTGGGGAACTGGTTCTCCGCGCTGAGCCTGCACCAGAATCACCTGCCCAGCAGGTGTCATTCGGTGGGTCCAGGGCAGGGCCCGGGACTGGTCTGCATTTCTAATAGGCTCTCAGATCCTGGGGCCCGCACCCCGAGAAGCGCTGCTCTAGCGTAAGCCCTCGCCTTTCCCTCCAGAGCTCGTCAGCGATGCTGCGGTGGCCACGCGCTGCGCCCCCGGCTCCCCGGTACCTTGATGCACTCCACTCGCTGTCGGGAAGGCCAGCGCGTCAGGCAGGGCGGCCAGCGGGCCTTCGCCGACCAGGCAGTGGGGATCTCCACCGCGGGGACCAGCTCCAGTTCCACCTGCCCTGCCGACGTTTCCACGGCAACCCACACTGCCGAGCGCTGTGTCAGCAAGCTGACCTCACCTGGCGGGAGATGACAGCGGGGCGATGAGAGGGAGAGCCTGGCGCAGTGCCAACGTTCAACGTTCGGAGAAGGAATTTGGGGGCCGCGGCTGTGACCAGCTCCTCGCAAGGGGTGAGGCAACTTTCACGTGTCAGGAGCACCCCCAGGGTGGGGTGTTTATGTCAAGACTAGACAGTGAACTGAGTCAATATCCATAGAAATGTTGCTAGAAAATCTCATTGTCGGTTGTTTCTTTTTCCTTTCTCCCCCACCCCCAAGGCTTTTATGGTACCTTTTCTTATAAGTTAATGGATTCTTGGGGCGCCTGGGTGGCTCAGTCCGTTAAACATCTGACCTCAGCTCAGGTCATGATCTCAAGGTTCATGAGTTCGAGCCCCGCGTCGGGCTCTGTGCCGACAGCTTGGAGCCTGTATCCTGTTTCGGATTCTGTGTCTCCCTCTCTCTACGCCTCTCCCCTGCTTGTGTTCTCGCTCTCGCGCTCTCTCTCTCAAAAATAAAATAAAAACTTACATTAATAAATTCTTTTCAGAAAGCTCAACTGAAGAGACAGAAGACAAAGAAAAGATGTAGTATTTGCTGGTATAAATGAAATGCAACCATTGTTCCATGCCTCCCCCCACCCCATTCCACCCAGATGTCCTGACCTTGCTGAGGACAGCCTCCATCCCCTTACTCATTCACCTGCCTCTGGTGAGTTCGGCTTAACCCGCCTCTCCCCTGACTCCCAGCCTCTCAGACGGCATGGCTTTGTATCCACCATCCATTCAGCCAGCCTAGCCTCAGATGTGTTTGTCATCCTAAGCCCTTGTAATTATAAAATACTTCAAAGTGCTCAAAGCCATGCGCTTAAACGGTCAAAGGAGTGGAAAGAAGCCCCCACTGCCTCTTCCAACCAGGCAAAGAGAGGGAGGGAAAATAGAGGCATCTGATGGTCCCTTTCTGTTCCTCTAGGAGAACTCATTGCCAAGCTGCTCGCCCTTTCTTCAAAAGATACACAGTCGTTTCGTTTGTTTGTCTGCCCTCATTACGGACAAGGATAAGCAGTCCCTTGACTCGGGATCTATTGTTTTCCTCTTTGCCCAGAGAAGAAAATGGAAGCTCACTCACTAATTGTGTTAGGCTGTTCAAAAGGAAAACATTCTTCTCCTTGGCTGGGGTGTGAGAAAGAGCTGATCGTCTGCATATCATGAGAGCTGCCCAGACAGGAACATGACAACATCTGGCACGTTGGCATTATTTCCTGAAGGCATCTCATCACCCTGGCCCAGTTCTCGTCTGCACTTTCACTATCACCCGTGTTGCAAAGTTAAGAGGTTAGTGCCTGCTGGGGCCTGCCCGCCCCACGCATACCCGGCTTCTGCCCTGGCTCTGCTTTCTTGGTGTGTGACCTCCTACACGTTACCTCCTCTCTCTACACCTCAATTTTCTTGTCTATAAAACAGGTAGAAAATGAACTCTTACTCAACAGCATCCTACACATGATAAAAATCCATTAAACATGTGCCCTTTCCATTATGGAACCTTCCAGAACAGTTCGGTCTAGACAAGTAACTGAAACGTGTGCCAATTCCATTATGGAACCATCCAGAACGGTTCTGTCTAGACAAGTACATGTACATTCAGATCCTTCCCTTTCTGCACACGTGGGAGTGCACCTTGTTGGGTACTTCATCACCCAGCACAAGGATTTTGCACAGCTCTGTGTGTACACACATCAATGTACCCCATTCTTAATGGCTGCGCAGTGGCCCGAGAGTCAGAGGCAGCACAATTTATTTTGTCAATTTCCCCTTGTAATTGACATTATTTCTAGTTACTATTACAAAGCCTATGGCAGTGAATACCCTTGTACATATTTCTCTTTAAAAATATAGAACTCCCTTATGACCCAGCAATAGCAGTGCTAGGAATTTACCCAAGGGATACAGGAGTGTTGATGCCTAGGGGCACATGTATCCCAGTGTTCATAGCAGCACACTCAACAATAGCCAAATCATGGAAAGAGAATAAATGTCCACCAGCTGACAAATGGATCAAGAAGGTGTGCTTTATCTATGTAACGGAATGCTACATGGCAGTGAGAAAGAATGAAATCTGGCCATTTGCAGCAACAAGGATGGAACTTGAGGGTGTTATGCTGAGCAAAATAAGTCAGGCAGAGAAGGACAGATACCATATGTTTGCATGTATAGGAGGATTAGGAGGAACTTAACGGAGGAGCATGGGGGAGAAGAAAGGGGGAATAGTGGGGGGGGGGAGGCAAACCATGAGAGACTCTTGAATGCTGAGAACAAACTGAGGGCTGATGGCGGTGGGGGGTAGGGGAAGGGGGGTGATGGGCATAGGGGAGGGCACTTGTGGGGATGAGCACTGGGTGATATATGGAAACCAACTTGACAATAAACTATTTAAAAAATTATTTTTAATGTTTATTTATTTTTGAGAGAGAGACAAAGACAGAGCATGAATGGGGGAAGGGCAGAGAGAGAGGGAGACAGAATCTGAAGCAGGCTCCAGGCTCTGAGCTGTCAGCACAGAGCTCAATGCAGGGCTCGAACTCACCAACAGTGAGATCATGACCTGAGCAGAAATCGGCCACTTAACCAACTGAAACACCCAAGTGTCCCTACATATTTCTCTTTTATGTGTAGGAATGTATTTCTAGGACTGGAATTGTTGAATTGTCAAGTTAAACACTTTATAAAAATAAAAACAGATGAATCACCCTTTAAAAGGGAGGCACCAATATACACTTCCAGGGACAATGCATGAAAAGGGCTGATGCACCTCACTCACCCCTACACTGAGCACAATCACACTTCTTCATCCCCATCAAACTATGAGGTGTTTTAATGCACAGTGCTTCAAATATATGTTAGATGGATCGTGTTTTCCCACTTTTTTACTACTAGTTTATATTCTTTTTCTGTGGGTCATTTTTTTGGGTCATTATTTCTATTAGTCTACTCATATTTTTTCTTATTGGTTTACAAATATTCTTCTATAATGAAGGAAATTAGCAATTAGCTATTCTTTTTCCCAATGTGAACAAAATGTGTGTGTGTGTGTGTGTGTGTGTGTGTGTGTGTTGTTTGTGTGCGTGTGCACATATACCACACGGTGGTATACAGATTAAGATTTGGGGGGACGCCTGGGTGGCTCAGTCAGTTAAGCGTCTGATTTCAGCTCAGGTCATGATCTTGCAGTTTGTGAGTTTGAGCCCTGCATCGGGCTCTGTGCTGACAGCTTGGAGCCTGGAGCCTGCTTTGGATTCTGTGTCTCCCTCTCTCTCCTTCCCCCAGTTTTCACTCTGTCTCTCTCTCTCAAAAAGAAATAAACACTAAAAAAAAAAAAAAAAAAAATTAAAAAAAAGATTTGGGGATTGTCAAATTTAATCAGTCCTTTATGGCTTCTCAATTTTGTGTTTTGGCACAAATCAGTGGTTTCCAAATGTGGCATCTCAAAACACTGGGGTACAAAACACGGCAGTCAGAGGGTGTTATAGAAATGTGCTAAGAACAAAGATCTGTGGTTTGTGAGTAATTTGCTTTTTAAAAGGAGTATTCACGTTTATGAGGCACCTGGGTGGTCCAGTCGGTTAAGAGTCCAACTTTGGCTCAGGTCATGATCTCGTGGTCCATGGGTTCAAGTCCTGTGTCGGGGTCTGTGCTGACAGCTCCGAGCCTGGAGACTGCTTCAGATTCTGTGTCTCCCTCTCTCTCTGCCCCTCCCCCACTCGCACTCTGTCTTTCTCTCTCTCTCTCAAAAATAAACACAAATTTAAAACATAACAATACCCACGTTTTTAAGTTAACATCAGGAAGGGGTGCATAAGCCAAAGCCCATCATATCTACGCCAGGGCGGTAATCCATTTAACTCTCAGCAAATGCTGTATGGATTCCATTCTTTGGTCTGTCACAGCAGAACAAAGAGATGCTTTGTACTGTGAGGATCAAACAGTTATAAGGAGCACACGATCATGGTCTCCTTTTAGGGGCACGGGCTTCAGGTTAACACCCAAGCAGAGGAGTTTTAGAGCAAATGGAAAATGCCAGAAACTGCCCTTGTCCTCTTCTTGACCCGCTCACCTGAGAGCTGACAGGTTCCAATTGCGTTTTCTACCAGCTTCCGGAACACCTGGAGGACCTTGGCGGGCACGATATCTCCCTCAATGTTCACGTCTGCCTCATGCCACTGCCATTGGCTCTTCATGAACTGCTCCACCGCCAGCCACTGCCGCAGGCCCTCGGGGTCCTGCAAGGGACAGGGGAGCCTGGCGCCCTGCAGGGTGTAGTACCGCCAGCGCTGCTTCCTGGCCTCCCTGTACCCCGCCAGGCCCTTCACCGGGACTGTGACAAGGAGCTGGCTGGGGGCCAAAACCTGGGGTTCAAGAAGGGAGAGAGAGGTGTGAGTTCACAGACTCAGGAGGTCACAGAAATCCTCAGGGAGCCGACCTGTTGAACCGGGCAGCTCAGTGAACTACCCAGCCCTCAGCAATGCACCGAGATGGGCAGAGAGCTGCCCCTGTCCAGTCACAGGAGGCGTCCGCCCTTGTTCTGCCCCGAACCGCCGCAAGGGCTCTGGCAGGAGGCTCACTCGCGGAGTCCTTGGTGTCGGGAATCCGCAAGGAAGAGAGTGAGCCTGCCCTGGAGTCCTCAAGGGCACCTGAAGTCCAGGGGGAGACGAGAAAGTGGGGAAGGGAGATGGTACATATTGTGTTCTGCACATACTCAGCACCACCATTCTCATGCCGTTACACAGTGAGGCGGCACTTCCCAGGTGAGGAATCTAAGGCTTGGAGGGGCTCTGAGATCTCCTGAGGGAGGCGCAGCCATTCAGTGCTAGAGCCAGAAGGTGAGCCTGAGCCCGCTGCTCGGCTGGCTCTCAGTCAGGGAGGAATGAGCTGGAAGGGGCAAAGGGTCCCGTAGACGAGGGGGTGGGAAGAGGTGAAAGCATTCAGCAAAAATGTCACCCTTCCTTTTTGCTTGTACCAATGACCCACAGCCCCTTCGAATGACCGGTCCTTACAGTGTCACAGGTGAAACAAAAGGCGGTGGCTGAGACCATGTGAGCTGTTGAGATGATTCTAAGTTTCATGGAATAAGGCCAACAATCAGGATCTACCTACGGGTACGGGTTAAGCGGGGGTCAGGGTGAAAGTGGTCAGGTCAACAGTCCAAAGGAGAGAACACACTGGCCGGCGGGGCACTGCCCCCAAAGGGAACTTGACACCGCGGGCCACGTCACATGGCTGCCTGCTCCACACTGCCCCGCCCCGCATCAGTCAGCTGTATACTGGACGAGCCACCTCCCTCTCGTGGAAAGTTCTGACAGTGGTATTTGGTCAACCTTTGCTCAGGACCCTGTCTTTGGCCAATTCAGGGGCGAAGAGTCACATGACTTCTGGTGCCCGTGGCAAGGCGGTAGCATTATAAAAGGGAACAAAGTGGGGCACCTGAGTGGCTCTGTTGGTTAAACATCTGACTTCGGCTCAGGTCGTGATCTCATGGTTCGTGAGTTTGAGCCCCGCGTCGGGCTCTGTGCTGACAGCTCCGAGCCCGGAGCCTGCTTTGGAATCTGTGTCTCTCCCTCTCTCTCTGCCCCTCCCCCATTTGTACTCACTCTCTTTCTCTCTCTATCTCTCTCTCTCTCTCTCTCTCTCAAATAAATAAACATTTAAAAAAATTTTAAGGAACAGATCTAAACTATGGCACTCACAATCAATACATTATTTGAGTCCACTTGCATGTGAATTCAAGAGTACAACAATCATGTTACTAGTCACATCAATGATGCTTAATTAGTGCTTGCTGAATGTGGTCCAAGATCAAATAAAATCAATTTTTATATGCCCCACTGTAACTAGTGATGTAACTGTAACATCAAAACTTAATGTGCAGGACATGATGCCTATAAATGCAGGATGTATTTTAAGCTGTGGATTCTGAGGCCACAGAAGGAAACCTCCTCCGATAGAATCCTAGGAGAAATGGTGATGTGTTTCTACTCCCTGTCACCAGTCTGTATGTGTCTAATGCAGGTGGGAAGAGTGACAGACGTGGGCAAACGATGTTGTGACATGTCAGGATCCCATCTAGTTTTACAATTTTTATCCCAGGGTGAGTCCCCCAAGTTCTGCGCTCTGACTCCAAATCCGTAAGTCGCAGAATCTTGTGGGTGGTCCTTGTGCCCAGCAACCTTGAAGCGTCCTGGACCAGCAAGTCTCCTCCGTTCAAGTACTATTTCTTCTGCTGAGCCACTTATTCTGCCGTGGGCCACACAGCAGGCTGAGTGCTAGGAATGGAGTGATCCATTAACATGATCTTTACAAACAAGGAGCTTGTAGTCTTGTGTGAGGGACAAGGCATGAATACATAGATATTTAATGTGAGTGAAGGGGGTCCTTATGTGTCACAGGAAAAATTGAGGTAAAGGAGGACTCAGAGGCTCACTCTTCTCATCGCTGAAAGGCAGCGAGCCATGTCTGTTCCACAGTTGTCTGTAGGTGTGAGTGAGGCAATTTCTGTGACAATGGCTTGGCCCAAACAGCAGGGTTGCAGGAAGGCTGGCTGTCACCCATGGCCCTGGTGGCTTAGAGCCCTGTCCCCAGTGGGCACAGCGGGGCTGCTGCTGCAGTGTCTAAGGGCCACCTCTTCGTCTTCTTCCTTCCCCCACCTGCAACCCAGAGACCCTAACTTTCAGGTGATTTCCCACCAGTGCCCTGAGCCCCCTCGCGCCAGTCCCCAATCTATTAAGTAGGTGCTTCATAAATGAATGTGAAGTTTAACTAAGCTTTGGCTTTTACAGCTAGTGTGCTTTGGAATCAGAAGCCCCGGGCTGACTTCCGACTTTAGGGCCTAATAGGACGTAGTCAAATCATTTGACTTCTCAGTGGCTCCATTTTTACCATCTGCAGAGGAGAAACACGAGGGTTCACATGAGGCAGCACCGATGGAACGAGCGTGTAAATGATAAACACTAAGAGCACCTGCGGAACATGAAGTCTTATCGGTATTCCTAGCAGCGCGATGAGATGGGCCCACCCATATTCCCTGGCTCTCTGGGAGGCACTTGCAGTACCAATGAGCCCTGGTTACCTTAATGTTCCCGTTGTAGGTGTCGGAGTAAGGCACAGCCTGAAATCGGAGGTCTTGGAGGCTGATTTCTGTGGTCAGACGGTGGACGACCCTCTGCACCTCCTCCACAATCTGGGAGATCTGCCGGCTCCTCAAGTCCACCTGCGTGAGAGGGGTCGGCACGGCAGTCATCCCCGGCGCAGGCTCCGGGCACTGGCACAGGGAAGTGATGAAATGGGTCCAGGGCTGGGCGACCACAGGAGTGCACTTGAACAGCCCCGCCCACCCAAGAGCCCCAGGGGAGATGAACTTGGGTGTGATGGCCCCCGCTGGTGGCTCAACGTTCTTCTCTGAAATAGAAGCATTCGTTCAGTATTTATCCAGTCCCTGCTGAGTGGTGAGGGCCTGTCTAGTGAACAAGAAAATGGTGGACAAGATAGACCTGTCCTTGTATATACAGAACATATACATACACACATGTACACACACACACACACACAGATACATGTATATATGTACACACATGTATGTGTACGTATAATTTACTATCAGGTATGATAAACCCATGTGGACAAATAAAACAGGATAAGGGACTGGAGAGTAAGGGGGCTGCTATTTTAGATCAGTTGGCCAGGGAGGGCTCCTCTAAGGAGGAGACATCTGATTGAGCCCCATCAGCAATGAGGGAAACCAATCCCAGGGCCCCTAAAGCGGGAGGGAGCATGCTTGGCAAGACTCAAGGACTGGCAACGAGGCCCCTGTGGTTGGAGCCTGGGAAAGAGAAAGGACTGTGACAGGGGATGAATTTGGAAAGGCTGGCTGGACCAGGCCATCCCCCCAGGCCATCCCACAGGACTTTGTGTGCCACGGTGAGGCTATAAAACGGGGTAGAAAGGTTGCCGTCCAGGTTGGCGAAGATGAAGCAGCTCAACGCTTATAATCATGCTGCAGACGGTTTCCAGCTTACGTTGGCCATAAAGGATGGCTCTCCTCGTCCCGGTACTCACCCCTCCTTTTGCTACTAGACTCATAAGAAAAGGCACATGTTTATGTTTCTTCAGACTCCACACTGCAAGTTCCCCCAAATCAGAACTGCCCTAAGAAAGTTGAACACCAAAGATACATACCTTCACAGATACTTAAAGTTTAAGGAAATAGGTGTTTGTGGGGAACACAAAGGAACTTTTAGTAAATTCCAGAAAACTTACAAAGATCCAAGAGAAGGAGAAATGGGAAGAGTCCATAAGGGTTTTCTGAAATGGAGGGCTCTGTTCTGTTGCTCAGGCAGCACCTATAGGCTGGCGCCTTGACGAGTGTCCCCCTCGAGGGGCTGCTGAGCCTTTCCAGGAACTGACTGGAAGCAATATTCGATATACCTAAACACAACGTTCACCATGAATCTTTATATCCCTCCCAGTTTTGTATAATGGCTCTTTCTATGTATTCTCGAGGAGCTGAAGAGTCCCATAAACTGGCCAAGAAAAGAAGTCAAAGTAAAAGAGATTTCTAGCTGCTTTTCCAAACTAAGTCATCAGTGAGCCCCATCACCCAGGACCTCATACTTCCCACCCACAAACCCAACCACCACATATGGACATAGGGCACAAGGGTTCACGTGCATCCATGTTGTATGTTACATGTATAAAGTAGATCCTTTATAAAGTTAGTTCACTAATAAACATTTATGTAGCACCTCTGTGTCCCGGGCACTCTGTGACATGCTGGGGCACATCAGTGGACAACACAGACCTAGCCGTGGCTGCCAGTGGTGGGGAAGGCAGGTGTCAGTACTGAAGAGAAGTGTGGGTGCCATGATTGGGACGTGTAGGGTGCCCCTGGGTACAACGGGGAAGATGGCTTCTAGTCGGAAGCCCGACGCTTGTTTTAAAGGTACGTATCCCTACACAGGGGACTGTCTTTGAAAAACTAATACCCTCCAGATGGGAGTAACAAGAAACATAAGATAGGGCCCCTGATCTTAAGGAGCGTATAATCCCACTGGAAATACATGATACACATGAAATAGTCTTTTCAAAACCCAGGTATCTTGTTTGACCTTAGATATGATGATCATGTCTATACAGGCTTTGGATACCATCTTCTTGCCACCAGCAGCCACCCCCTGCTCTCCAAATTCCTTTCCCACTACATTCATCATGGGAGAAGGGACCCAGGGCACCCGCCTTGAGCATTTGTCAAGTATCAAGATTCTGCATTTTCCAGAGAGTCCAAGGGGAAGAGAAAATGTGGTCACAGAGGGGGCATATCTTTGCCAGGCCAAAAATAAAGGAGAATGTGTTTAGCAGCCCATGATGAAGGGTCCTTCTCAGTGTAGAAATTCTTTGTGTTGGGATTCAACTCCACTTGACCCATTTTGTTGAACGCTTTATGCCAGGTTCTGTGCATACGTGTCAAGAGGTTTACAGACAAAGCAAGACAAATAAACTGGAAATTAAAGTCACGGTGATCTAGTGCTGGGTGGAAGTTTGTACTGGTTACTCTGGGTAACTATATGGGTATGGGTAACTAGTTACTATGAGTAACTAATTTCATCTAGCATTGGAGGCTGGGGGTCCTTCTGGGAGGCATAGTGTAGAGGAGTTGTCTCTTGAAAGATGAGGAAGTTAGCTAGAAATAGAAGGGCCTGAAGGTTGTTCTAGAAAGAGAAAATGGCAGACATCTAGTATGAGGAGCACAAGGGAGGAACTATAAGATTTCCTGTATTGTTGGAGAAGGGATTGTCCTGGAAGAGGAGGTGAAATGGGAGAAGGAGCAGCAAGAGGTCTTGAGAATAAAGGAAGAAGAATTTTAAGAACAAAGTCAACAGTGAGTGGCTGAGTAAGACAGGGCTCGAGAAATGTGCATCATGTTTGGCAACTGGAATAGGGTCGGTGTGTTCGAGGAAGGGGTGGGCATTAAGCTGGATTGAAGTGGGTTACGAGTAAGTGGGAGGTGAGTAAGCAACTCTTCCAGAAAGTCTGGCCAGGGGAGGGGAAAAACAAAACAGGATGCCAACAGGTTTTGTTTTTTTTTTTTGTTTCAAAATGACACACAGGTTTGAACATGTCTAAACACAGCAAGGAAGGAGCCAGAAGGAAGAGACAGCAGAGAATGAAACCACAGAGTAAGGATTTCCCAGCCAGAGGGTCTTGCAAATCCAGGAACCCGGTGAGCACTTTACCTTGGTGCATCAGAAGGAAAGAAAGACAGATGCAAACACAGATAAAAGGGTAGGGAGCACAGGAATGGGAGAGATTTCTTGTCTGGTGACGATTATCTTTATAGCGTAGGATACAAGGCAACATGCTGTAAGGTGGAGAAGGGAACATAGGGGACTTTGGGATGACAGACTTTGTAGATCACATCTCTAAGGAATGAGGCTCTTCCAGCATGTGAAGACTACCAGGGAGTCCTAAGATTCAGCTATGGGGGGTCCATGAGGCTGTGAGGTACAAGAGGACTCCGTTGTAAGATGATCTCCACACTGCGGCCCTCCAAAGGTAACCATGGAGGTGCAAAGATTAGGGCTTGCTGAGCAAGATCTGGAAAAGGATAAAGGAACAAGGGAGGGTTTCCACGGTGGGCCACGTATTCCAGCCGGGGGAAGAGAATGGACAAAGCCATTTCACAGATTAGGGAACACTGGACAAGTTCAGGGAACAGAAGTCTGATCAGGAATAGCGGGAGAAAGTAATACAAGGCTAACTAAATAGAACACCGCAGCCAGAATGGTTGGGAAATAGTATTCTCAAATGGCTAATTTCTTAGACTCCGTTGAGGACTAAGGCTCAGCCCCACAGCCTCCAAGTCCACCGATGTGACTTCATAGAATAAATGTCAGTAACAGAGTGGTGACTCTCTACACACCTGTACATTTTGTTTCCCGAGCTGATAAACAAATGAAAGAGTCATCACTGTATTGACACTGTCAAATAACGTTAAAAGCTTGAGAGGAAAAGTGTGTGCGCGCGCATGCACATACACACACGTGATGAGTAGCCTACTGGACACAGTTCTCCACTGTGAATCTCTTCTACAAACTATGCCCTCGCTTGATGGTGGAATTTTCTTACCGGGCAGAACTAGGCAGTTCACACACTCTCTGGGAGGCACCTGTCATCTCTTGCTCATTAAACATCTTTACGACCTGCCTTGATTTCTGAAGCCGAAAATCAGAAGAAGGGCACACTCTTCTGGGCTTAGAGCCACAAATTCTGATTTTGATTTCCTTTACCCCTCACTTCTGCTGTGGTTTTGACTCGGGACCTTAGAATTGGAAGAAACCTCAGAAATTGCCTTGCTTGGTGTCAAGTGATAGTAGGCTGGAGCAGCAGGTGGTCCTAATGTCATGCTGGCGGTCCGCAGTCGCGCTAGCCCCAACATCCAGGTTCCCTCGCTGCTCTTTCCCTCCCATTGCACCGGACCCTCAAGTAGACCCTCCAGAAGAAATACCTGCCTCTGTCCTCTTTCTGAACCTAACCACGCCCTCCCAGTCAAGGTCGTGAAATAACAAGTTCAAAGTCTCCATTTATTTGGGCATGGCTGACCATCTGGTGTCCCCTGGCACACCAGGGCAACACAGCAGGGGCCTCGATCCCACGGGTGACAATGGGCTGCCCCTCCTCGCCATGTCTCTGGCCGCAGTTGGTTGCGACCCACCCTCCTCTATGGACCACGTGTTCTCTCCAGCAGCCCCAGCAGCGATTTACGCCAAAGGTTCCCCAGGCTCCGTCCCACAACCCACCTGTCACTGGCCTCCTGTCAATCACGGCCCAGAAACCCCTCCAGCTGTCCTGACCACAGCCTAGTGAGGGTCAAGATTCCATTTTAGGGTGTGGAACAGCACAGAACAGGGCTGAGGCGGCTTTACAGGGAGGGATCCTAGGGAAAGAAGGGGGCGCCACCACGGAGACCGGAGATGGTGCCCAGCCCAGCCTCACAAGCCCTTCAGTGCCTGCCCGGCTTCAGGAAGTACCAGTTGTAGCCTTAAAGGAGACTTGTCACCAGATCGATTTCCTGGTATGGCTTTGAAACACATGCAAAGCGGGGAGGGGAAACACAGTAATTTAAGAAGAAGGAATCAAGGCACATTCAATCCAAACTTACCAACTCAGTGCCTGTATGAGTTTCACTCACCTTCTCTGACAATTAGGTCAGTGAAAAAAGGGATGCTTTTCTTTTTAAAAAGGCTGCATTTGTGAATGGAACACAGCACAAGCAGAAATGAAGTGGGGTGAAATTAGTCAGACATGTGACGGTAGATGTGGTTAGGTCATCTAATCCTCCCTTCCGTCACACTGACCCCAGAAAATGATGCCATGCTTGTTAGCTTGCAGATTCAGTTTCTCTAATTAAGCAGAGTTTATGCAAAAAGAGTCCTTGGAGGCGCTCCTTGAGAGTCTAGCATGTTTTTGCGGACTTCCGGGTTTCCAGGGCACCCATACGTGCCCACACACACGTACACACCCCCGTCCCGCTCCCGTCCCGCTTTCCTCCCCCCCAACCACAGCACCAGCCCGCTGTTGTCCCACACATCATCTGCTTCTATTAATAGCTCCCGTTCACAATTTACTGTTTCAAACATAAATTAGTGAGAATGCAAGGTTATTCCCTATAATAACACCATCTGACTCACTTGCATTCCGACATGCTTCCTTGAGAGAGATAGAGGGGCGGTGTCAAGTAGCATGCCAGGAATGTCACACAGGCCCGGCCACAGCCATGAGCGTGTGGCCGGTGTGACTGTCACTTACGATAAAAGTGCACCAGGGGGTAAAGGGCCGAGAACTTCCTTCCAGACATCAGGAAGTCAGAATTTTAATTCTGGAATTGCATTAAATCCAATGATCAGGGTTTTTTTTTTTTTTTTTTTTAATAAAACAGGACAAGCACCATATCTGTCCTCCAGGGGTTAATAATCTAAAAAGATGGAGATGCGGGTGCCTGGGTGGTTCAGTTGGGTAAGCGTCCGACTGGCTTAGGTAGTGATTTCACGGTTCGTGGGTTTGAGACCCGTGTTGGGCTCTGTGCTGACAGCTCAGAGCCTGGAGCTGCTTTGGATTCTGTGTCTCCCTCTCACTCTGTCCCTCCCCACACTCATGCTCTCTGTCTCTCTCTGTCTCTCTCTGTCTCTCAAAAATGAATAAACGTTAGGGCACCTGGGTGGCTCAGTTGGTTAAGCATCCGACTTCGGCTCAGGTCATGATCTCATTCATAGTTCATGGGTTTGAGCCCCGTGTCGAGCTCTGTGCTGACAGTTCAGAGCCTGGAGCCTGCTTCAGATTCTATGTCTCCCTCTCTCTCTCTGTCCCTCTCCCACTCACGCCCTGTCGCTCGCTCTCTCTCTCTCTCTCTCTCAAAACTGCATAAACATTAGAAAAATTAAAAACAAGAAAAAGATACCCAAAACACGACATCCCTCTCATTGAGCAGGCCACATCCCGGGCCTGTGTTTTGGGCACCATGTTTTGCGCAAAGCAGGTGCTCAGTGTGTGTTTATGGAGATATAGAGGGGTTTAGCAGAGCAAATATGACTTTGGAGTAAAAAAAGAGTGACTTAATCCACAGGAGCCCATTTCCTCCTCCGTAAAAAAATGCAACTAGTATGTACATGCCACATGGTTGGTGGCAGATTAAATGAGATACTACACAGGCTCCAACCTGCCGGTACCTTTTACGTTATTCTTGTATTATCCTCAATGAGTTCTAAAGATATTCTGACCACATTATGTGCAAAGATACTGTTTGAATGGCAAGGGGAAGGAAGATATCCAAGACATGATTCTCCCCTCCAGAAACTTCTAGAGAATAAAACGAGGTCATAGTTATGTTGCCACCCAAGATAATAATAGGAAAGGTGTCAAAAGTCGATATACAATCGATGGCCAAGCTGGGACCTTAGACATTCTCAAGGCACAGTACCTGTGGGGCAGGTGTGACCAACTCAAACACCCACAGGGACAGAGGGGGTCATGAGCAGGACAGCTGAGGGGGGCAGGTGTCACACCCAGGGGAACCTGTGAGCACAAACCATGTGGAACAGGCACTCAGCCCCAGCCCACGGGGCCTGTGATCGCCAGGTACCTTGATGCTTTCTTTTCCCTGAGAAGATGGAAATCTGGATTTCTGTGCAAAAATCCCGCTCTTATGAAATGTTTGTAACAAACATGAAAACATTTGAAACTACTCTGTAGGCCAAAGAAAACACATGCACAGGCTAGATTCAACGTGCAGAGCATTGTTTAGAAATTCTGCTGTTGGAGCTGCAGAGAAGCAGAGAGTGGAAAGATAAAGCATTACTGGGATGCCAGGCTAACATGCTTGGACTTTTCTCTTTCAGAAAACATAGGACCCTGGGAAAATGTTGGCCCCAACCCCTTCTGTTTCTAATAGCCCCCAAAAGGAGAAATAGTGGGAAATCACTTCGTCTGCTATAATTTTCATCAATGTAAGTTTCCCCTATTTATTTCTTTAAACGGTTTTGCCTAAGAAATCAACTTTCCTTATCACTGTGATCATGAACTCTGCCTTGTTTATCTATGAAAGCACATCCCTAATCGTAGTCAAGTCCGTACCCTTAGTTTACATGTTTTAGTTTTACGGGTGGCTCTGTGCCGTAATAGCTTCGTCTGTAAATGGAAAGCCTTAATTAAGTTAGATAATATTTAAGGTCCCTTCCAGTTCTAACACTCTAAGAGTCTGTGGCTCTCTCCAGAAGAAATTCAATGAATTTTTAATTGATGTGCACTCAACGTATGATATACATTTTTAAATCTAGCAGTTGTACAGTTTCCAAAAGGCATTCTTAACTTCACTTACTCTTTTCTCAGTGACCCCACTAAGCCCCTAGTATCAGCCCCATTATACAGAGAAGAAAGCGGAGGCTCAAGCAGGTCAAGTGCCTTGTGCGTCACTGTACCAAGTGCCGGTGATAGAGCTGGAGTTCCAACCCACGTTCTCTTTCTGTTCCACCTTCTGGACCCAATGGGCCTCTGACACAAGGCAAGTCCCTAAACACTTTTATAGGTGAAGGTCTTGATTCCTAAACAGCATGTTATGTATCTTTGGAAGCAGCCTTAAATCTGTCAGAATCTAGGTTGGTGGGGCGGCAGGGATGAGGTGGGGTGCGTGGTAGAGACCAGCACCTGTCCTTACCTTACTCAGGAGATAGTCTTCCAAGTCTCCTGTGGACGGGGACTTCATGGTTTCTTGGTCGACTGTTAGTAGAGCAGCAATGCTATGGTCCGTCACTCAAAGGAGGACAACAGGTGCAAGTTAGTTTCCCAGGAACGTTGGTCTAGGTGCTGAATTTCTTTGGCAATGTGTACACGGACCAGTGACTTCCCTTCCCAATTCTTCCCTCCAGCTCTCATGTTGGAATTGGGAGCCTTCGCATGTCATCTTTTGGGAAAGCATTTTTAGAAAGGAATTTAGAGAGGAGGGCTGATGAAATTGACACTGAATTGGAGTTCGACCTCATTTGACTCGACTTAGATCTATTGACGAGCACTTTGACCCAAGGGCAGTTTTCCAAGTTGCATGTCCCAGGCGAACACTTAAAAAAGTTCCATTCAAGATAGAAATGCTGGACTTGGCTTCTTCCCCGCCTCTTTCTGCTCTTGTCCTGAAACCGGATGCACCCCGCCGCCCAGTATCTTATATCTCCTTGTTCTTATCCTGTTGACAGTAAATATTCCTTGCCCTCCAATCCAGAAAATCCCACAGACTGATTTACCTTCTTTACAATAAACAAATAGGGAACTGCCAAACAAGTGGCAGGCACCGTCATTACACCTACAGACAAGCAATCGGGTCTCGTCAACCAGATTGGGGCACAATAATTTGCATGTGGAAAAGCACATGCATGTGAGTGCATGGGCGCAGAAACATAGAGGTGCACGCGTGAGAGAGCGCGCGCGCGCACACACACACACACACACACACAGAGGCACAACCAGGAAAGGCAGGACAAGGATCTTTCTGCTCACCTGCTGACCTTTAAATATAATCTCCCTCTTCTCACTTGAAAGCTGGCAGTAAAAATAAAGTCAGTGTAAACAGGCCCCTTGAGAGTCGAGGAAACATTCTTGTCTAGTTTTGCCAGCAAAACCATGTTGGAAAGCAGCTCAGGCAGTAAGTTCCCAGTCTGGCCGGCTGGGGCTAGTTTTATTACAGAAAAAAAAAAAATTCACAGTGGCCTGATCTCCCTGAAACTGGTAAACATCAGAGACTGCTATCAGATAATCTGAAGAAATCAGAGAGCTTCGGGGAACCCAGCTCCCTGCTGAGCAAACAGTCTTTCCAGACCCACCTCGGAGCGCTCAGCAACTGTTGGGTGCCTGGGCTACCTGGCTGCCCGCTGCCACAGCGTTTGCATATCTCTGCACTCTGCTGGGTCTGAGCACATCTGGGCCGCGCCAGCTCCCTGCTCCACCCACCTCATAAATCTCAGCGTTCACACCAGCCTCTATAGATCTCTTCTGTGAAACACTATAGCAAATCGAAATAGTCTACGTAAATGTTGCAAAGCTACCCCGCCCCCAAACTGCCTTGACTTTCCATTTTCTTCTATCTGTAACCCAGAGTTTCCTTCCCATGATTTCAAATGCTCCGGAGTATTTCAGAACCTTCTTCCCTTGGCTTACCACTGGTCGGTCAGTCCAAACTCAGTTTTTCGCCAACAGGACCTGAGCCTCTCTCCCCAAATGTCCTACAGTGCAGGAGTCTCTCTCCACCTCGTTTTCAGTTTTACCAAAGCCCTCCTGTTTCTCCCACGAGCTCCTGTTTTTGTCCTTACTTTGGCTTCACTGTAATCATTAACTCAGAATTCCGATTCCTTTGGTGGGGCCTTGCCTACAGCTCTAAGTTTCCCCCAGAGGCAGGTCATCAGATGCCCAAACTTGTCTCATTCGGTGCCTGGGGCTGCCCTCCCTCGGTGGCCCAGCACTGCCACTGATTGAATTATCAAGACTGTCATTCTCCTGTCGCTAGGGCTCAGTGATGCTTCCCAAATGGGCACAGGGACATCAACCAGCAGGCCAACTCCAGAGCCTGGGAGAAGGAAGAAGTCTGCGCTCAGGGCGGCTTACTACATTCTCATTCTACCTGGGCGCCCTACCTGCCAAATAGGAGTTCTAGAAACACAACCAGTGCCTGGCTCCCTCATATAGTTCCTCACGGGCAAAGGGTACAGTAGATAGGGCAGTCTCGCGGGGCAAGGCCTCTGACTCGAGGACCTTTCTTTGTAGATAAAGATCTCTGGCTATGTGGCTTTTGGATTAGCAAATATTTATTGAGCAACAGTCTGCCTAAGGCACTTTGTTGGGCCATAGAGAGGGATTCAGATTCTCTTCCTTTCTCAGGAAATATATATCCTCATTTCTCATGACTCATACCAAAGGCAAGCATGAACACGTAAACCGGCTTTGGCCCAAGTTCTATTGTGAGGACCAAGAAATTATGTTTTCAAGTCAGTTTCACAAGGTACTCGAAACCCTAAACCATCCATATGCAAGCCCTCGGGAGATAATGTCACCCCCAATTCACCAGCAGAGGTGTTTGCTACTGATTTACCTAGTGGCTAGGGTTCTCATCCCAAGGAGGAAGGCTGGCTTGATCCAAATCAGTCTTACATATACAGATTTTAACAGTTCATCAAGGTTACAAACTCTGACTTACTCTTTCAAAAATTCCCTTAATTCCAGGGTGACTTAAATCTGCTCAAAGGACCAGACGGAGACAACTGTCCATGCTGTGAGGAAGTCCCCAGCAGTGAAGAAGGCAGTGACTGATTCTGTCTGTTCTGTATCTGCACTGGGGTCCAGTCCCTAACACATAACTGCCCCTCAACAGTGTTGATTATTTGATTGCACTAAACATGAAAGTGACATTCTCATATATGAGATATTTGGAGACACGTAAGATCACTTTATAAATTATAAGTTTAATTTCACACATGCACCTCTGATCTTTCAAATTACTCTCATCTTTTATAGAAAGGCCTGATATAAAAGAATATAGCATAGTACCTGGCACATGGTAGGATCTCAATAAATATTTGTTTTCATACTCCATTTTCTTTGCTGGGGAGGGGACCCCTTCTTTTAAAGGATGCGAGTCGTCATCCTGGTCTTATCTTACAGGTAAGATCTTTCATTGGGTTGGTCTTCATGGTTCCATCAAAATGCTAGTCTCCTTTTCTGTCATACCAGAAATAGCAACCGAGAGAGTTTGAACTTGATCTTTGTCTAGGTTCAGAGGTAGAAGATCCCAAAGTCGAATGCCTACATGAGTTGGGCAGTTAATAAAATAAATCAGGATAGAGTAGAAAAATGGAGAGGGGTGGGGCCCATGATGGACTCAAGAATAGTGAGTCCTATATAGTGAGGACGTGTGTGTGTGTGTGTGTGTGTGTTTAAATAACACTGTACTATCAAATACTGGACAATATAAAACCCATCCCTGCATGCTTACAGCATCACTGCAGTCCCCTAAAACAACTCCTTGACATCTTCTCTGGCCCTTACGTAGGTAGTGCTCTCTGCTTGCATATTCCTCCCTATCTCCTCCCCACTTCACTATGCCAACTCATGCAGACCTTCTCTGGTTCCCCAGGCTGAGTAGGGAACCATATGTGGTGCTTCTGGACCAATTGCTGGTTTACTTATATCTGTCACCTGCTGCTCTGTATGCTCCTTGAAGGCAAAGTACGTGGCGTAGAGTAGGTACTCAAAAAAACATCTGCAGAATGAATGAATGCATGCCTGAATAAATAAATGAATACGTGAGGGTGCCCCTTTCCTCATTCTTCAGTGTAATCCCGTCCTACCCACAGGCATAAGATAACGTGAGAAAAGTAAAAGGTAAATAATGAATAAATGCTCTTTGGTTCACTTGGGAACACAATGAACAAAAGTAGAAAGGGAATCAGATAATGACCCATTTATTTATTTATTTAGTTTATTTATTTTGAGTGAGAGAAAGAGAGAGAAAGCGGGGAAGGGCAGAGAGAGAGGGAGAGAGAATCTCAAGCAGGCTCTGCACCATCAGCACAGACCCCAATGTGGGGTTCAGACTCAAACTGTGAGATCATGACCTGAGCCAAAACCAAGAGTTAAGCATTTAACCGACCGAGCCACCCAGGTGCCCCAGGCAACGACCTTACAAACTGAGGGTGAAAGGGGGAGTGGGGGAGAGGGGAAAATGGATGATGGTTGAGGAGGGCACTTGTTGGGATGAGCCCTGGATGTTGTATGGAAGCCAATTTGACAGTAAATTGTATTAAATAAAAATAAAAACCATTTTATCAAGGTAAGTACAATGCATCAAATTTATAGTTTGTCATGACATTGAAAAGGAAGAAAAATTTTAAAGAATTTGATCTGATAAAATAAGCACCTTCACCAATAAAGAAAAGATAGAGAGTTGAAAAAATAAATAAAAGCTGACTTCAACTCAGCAAGGCCAGAGCAGGAGGATAAGATATGTTTGCACCTGAAGGAAGCTGCTCTTCACAGCCTCAAGCTGTCAAGACCTGCTGGAAAGCTGCCCAATCATTTGTTGTGTGTGGATCTCAGAATCCAAACACCCATGCATCTTTGTAAAAGTCATGGCCCCATCTGGCCATGTCAATGAAGAGTACGTTATTTCTTAGCTGCAATTATTATCCGAATACATCCAGAAAGAGAAAAAGTCCTCCAACATCAGCCTGAAGGGTGACAACATACCTCTGCTTTCCACCAACCAATGACTCTACCATGTGTATCACCTAGGATCAAGAGAAATAATGAGGGGCTCCTGGGCAGCTCAGTCAGCTAAGCATCCGACTCTTGCTTTCAGCTCAGGTCATGATCTCGCAGGTTTGTGGGTTTGAGCCTCTCATTGGGCTTTGTGCTGACAAGTGTGGAGCCTGCTTGGGAGTCTGTCACTTCCTCCCTCCCTCTGCACCTCCTCCACTTGTTCTCTCTCTCTCACACACACTCAAATAACTAAAGAACCTCAAAAAAAAGAGAAATAATTAGTGTTGTCAACACCAGATTTCCATGAAGCAAAGATGACCTATTTTAGTTACACACTAGTGTGTATTAAATGATCCCAGTTGGGCTAGGAGAAAGGAAAGGAGTCTATCTAGAACTGTTTCCGTCCATCTGTGTCCATCCATCTACATATCTGTGCACTGGAATGTCATTCCGGATTTTCCTCATTCAAAGGGCCCATGCTGAAAGGCAACCCAGAAACTTCTTTCTAACAGAGACCAGTTGTTGATGTAATGAAATTCCTGCTGTGGCAGAGATGACGCTTTATTTTCAAATTAAATAGTAAAAAGTGTTTCCATTTTTGGATCTCCCTACCTGGTAAGCAGAGTTGCAGTTTCACTTGAAACTTTTCCTTAAGTCAGGGTACAACTCCCTTCCCTCTGCTCTGGGTCATGGGAGGCTGGCATATTTTTCAGCTGACACCACGAGGAACATGCTGAGAGTGAGGAAAGAATTTAAGAAAGAAGACATTTGGTTTTTATTAAGTGGTTACACCGGGAAATTAACTGGTAATTTTGTCGATCTGTTTGGCTCAGTGTCCATGATGTCCGACATCAGAGGTGGCAGGAAATAGTTAATAGGGAGGAATCGATGGCTCCTGAACACACAATGGACTGCCTTTCCCCCAGCCACCCTCTATTGCTCATGACACATGACAATATTCCTGGGTTTTTGTTGTGGTGGTTGTGGTTGTTTTTTAGCTGAAAGAGACCCAGAGGGAAGATATATAGACACAGAGATGAATGGAACAAAACAGAAACTCCAGAGATAGATTTATATAAATACAGCCATTTGATCCTTGACAGAAAGCATAAACACCATTCAGTGGAGGAAAGATAATTCTTTTCAACTAATGGATATTGAAACAAGAAGTCATCCGTAAGGAAAGAAAGAAACCTTAATAAAAAGCTCACGCCTTGCATAAAGAAAGATTAACCCAAAATAGATCATATGTCAAAATGATAAACATAAAATAATAAAGGATTTAGAAGAAACATAGGATGAATCATTGCGACAAGGAGTTAAGCAAAGAGATCTTAGAAATGACACTAAATAGCTGATCCATAAAAAAAATAAACTAGCCTTCATCAAATTTAAAAACTTTTGTTCTTCTAAAGATAAGAGAATGAAGAGACAAGCTGTGGTTCAGGTGAATATATCTGAAAACTACCTATCCCACAGTGGACTTATGTAAGAATATACAAAGGGTTCTCAAACTCAATAGTAAGAATGCAAATAACACAATTAAAAAATGGGAAAGGGACTAGAACATACGCTTCACCAAAGAGCATATAAAGATGACAAATAAGCACATGAAAAGACAACCAATATCATCAACTATCGGAAGTATACAAATTAAA